ACGATTGCCGCGTAGTGCGTTCACGAAATTTGGCGGCTGGGATTAATCCGAACAATTCCTCAGAGCACTCCCCATGGTATATGCGAAAGAAAATGCAAAGAAATGCAACATCTCTTCGCAGCGTTAGTGAATCGAGCCGATCGGTAAGCACTCGGTCGTCGACGATTCAAGCCGCTCTGCGCTGGATGCGGTCAAGTGGAAGGAGCTGGTACTGGGGAGCCCTAGCCCAGAGAAGGGAACAGTATTCCATGTGAGGCCGAACCCGCGCCTTGTAAAGTTGCAGGTGGTGTGCCGGCATGAAATACTGTCCCGCTCTGCTGAGCACGCCAAGCTTTTTAGAGGCCAATTTGGCCTTCTCTTCCAAGTGACCACGAAACTGCACGTCCTAGATACGACGCCGAGGATTCCAACACTGGCTGAGGCAACAAGGGGAGAGCCTTGAAACTGAGGAGATACGACAAAGGGAAAGTTAATTATAATTAACTTGTCACTAAAATCTTTGAGTCGAAATGCGGCGCACGCTACGGGCCTAAAATCAGCAGGTTATAACTTTAGCACCCAAACGATTTGTCTTACGTACAGGGCGCTTTAAAAAAGTTTTCACACAATTGTACACTAACAGCCCGGCCACGGGACATTCGCCGTAGCGAATATTCGCGCGGCGCGAACGGCAAGACGTCTAGCGACTAAGACAAATGTATATATATGTACAAAATGTTTGTATATATGTAGAAATGTATAAAAAAATGAATGGTATCGATACGGTTAAAACCAAAGAACATTCATTTTATATATTGCTAGCGATCCGGCCGTATTCGCACGGCTGATTTCTGGATCACGACAGCAGCGCCACCAACCGGGTCCAATTGTCCGGGTTCGTTAAAGGAAACACAAACACACAAAACGTTCCATCGAAATCGGTCTAGCCGTTTTGGATTTCAGTGACATACACACATACGGAACAAATATGTATAATATAAAGATAGATAATCGAGCGTATTACGTTGGAAGTCAATAACGTGATTTTACAGACGTAGTTTGAAGCTTTTGGTAGCCTTTTTATGTGTTTAATTGTTTTAAGTTAAGTTTACAGCCCCTTTACGTACCATTGCTGGACACAGGCCTCCGCTCTAGTACTGGGCGTTTTATTCAGAAACACTTTTAAAAAAACATTTTGTCAAAGAAAAACGAACGAACAGTTTCTCGAAGGTCCAACATTAGGTTTAAAAACGAACGAAATGAATACAGTTCTACATTTCATTCTCGGAACTGTCTCAATCGCAAAACTTACAAACTGGGGTTTAAAAACTAAATCCAATCCTAGGTTCATACATTGGATCTAAGTTAATACTCTATTACTATTGCTTTATGAACTATTGTCGTATAAATAGAAAACAGTTATAGTAACTACTTTTGATTTGAAGTTACGTTTAAAGCTAAAATAAATCTTATTTATATCTAAAAACAATTCAAATTTACAACCAAATTGTAGGTGGTTGAACAAAAATGAACGGACCGAGAAAAACGGTATTTTCGGCTTTCTCTTATTTTTTTTATGTAACTTTTTGTCGTAGACAGAGAAATCTATAGACTAATGATTAGCGTGGCCTGAAATGAGAAAGAACGATAACGTAGTTTTAGGTTATACAATGATCTTTATGACTTTTAAACATATTTAGATAAAAAATTTAATTGTTCTAAGAACTGAACAGAACAAGATTCACCAATATTAAGCTCACAAAACACTTTTTTCTCACTTAAACCAACTTGTAAACGTCTTAGGTCGCTACGAACTGTCAAAGTTGTTTAGCAAAGTGTAGTTTGCTAAACAAAAAAACCGGCACGGAGAAAGGGACAAATAATCACACCGCTCTGTCTGCATAAATCTGTCTTTTTCGTGTGCGAAAGTGAAAAAAGGCGTCAATTTGTCTATAGGTTTCTCTGTTTACGCTGTTTGTGAAGGTCAGCTTGGTCAAACGTACGTTTTTTGTAAGAATTTAAATCAGTTTCAGTTGTCGTCAAGTAACGCTTGTCTACGCCTACAATTTCGAATTTCCAAAAAAGTGACGAAAAGTGTTTTATGTGATATATTGTATATATTAATTGTTTAATAGTTTTGTAATATTCGGTATATTACAAAACTATTAAACAATTATTATATATAAAACCGATTTAATTTGTAAATATCTTTTGTTCTAATATTGTAGATAGTGTAAATAATGAAAACGTGTATATAAAATGAACTTTTAAATACGCCCGTAACATTTATCAGCCAGTTCTAAGCCTGTAAAAAATATGAAGGGAAGTTCGCTTTATTATTTTGTAAACAAATATATGGTGAAGTCGTTACGTACACTGCGGGAATTTTTTTTTGAAAAACTGTTTTTTTTAAACTGTTTCTAATTTCAAAAAAAAACGGTTTCGTTTTGTTTTACAAAAAACCTGAAATGACCCAGTACTATCCACTCATTACTGAGAGGGTTTTAGAGCTAGGAAATGTCCGCCGCACTGCCCCAATGCGTGTTGGCGAACTTTACATGCAAGTTTTTTTAGTTGTAATAAAACTTTATATAGCAACCGATAAACTTATTTGAGAAAATTGTATTGACAACATTTTCAAAATTGTACTCGTGATATTGTGTTGTTTTTTATTAATTCAATGCGAAAACAATACAATATAAATATAGGATGATAAAAAAGTTTACCTAGAGAATACCGAATTATAAGATATTTATTAAAAAATAATTTTAAAATTTTAATCTCTTTTTCTTCTATTTTACTTAATACATAATGATGAAAATTCCTATATACTAAGGGATTAGGAAAGATTGTAAAAGGGAAAAAAGAAGGGCATTCGTCGATTCAATCATTTTATGTTACTGCTTCGTGTATTTTCGATTGAGCGAATGGTAAGATACATATGGATTAAAATTAAAAAGAGAAAATAATTTTTGTATATTCCATGGAATTTTGTCGAACGGCCTATGATCTCAAAAACTTCAGAGCTTTTGAAATTTATTAAGATTTTATCCGTGTTTAATCGGTGCTTTGAGTACGTATTGCTTCTGTCGTGCAAAGGGCATTTGTTTCTAACGACCCTCTTATGCCATAAATCTTCCTTTAATGTATTTATGAAGGATCGTATTCAAGCCGCAATCTGTTTTCGTTGTAATTCCTTTCGATTAGTCTTTTGAATTAAATAAAACGCTTAAAATAAATAAAAGCTATAATATCTATAGTTATTACTGCCTTCAAACGAGTCCCTGATGTGGAATCGTTTATTAATAATGTTGCGCGCCTAAGTGGACGTCATGTACCCGGCACTAGCGCCATCTGTGTCGGGTAACAGAGCGAGGAGAGCTTTCCATAAAATGACATCACTAATCTTTCAACCGACAGCACCATCTAGTATCGAAACGAAGAACTAAGCTTCTAGAAGCTGACACTCGAACTTTCGATGCCTTGTCGATTGGTGCGCGTATTTACTTGAATATTCTGGATGTTTCGGTGATAATGTGTATTTATAGATGCTGCAAGATGCGATCGGGGAAGTATTGAATTCGGCGAGACAAGCGAAGCTTCGGAGCGAAATAATGTGAATCAGTGTGGGTTTTAGTTATTAGTGTTCTAAGTTTTAATTAGTGTAAAGTGAATTAAAGAAGTAATTTTGGTAATTCAATCGGCAGTTTTAATTGTCACGAACCTCAAGCTCGTAACAATTGGTTCGTAACACTTCTGACAAGTGGGATTAAATCATGCCAATTTTACCTAAGGAGGAAACGGAGGGTGTCCGTACCCGAAGTCAACGCCAGCAGGAGACCGACCAAAGAAGATTTGGTGGTGCAACGCCGCAGACGTCGGAGGGCCAGCCGCCGGCTGCAGGCCCGTCACTAGCTCCAACATCTGCAGCACCTGACTTAGGTGCTCTAATGGTGATGCTGCAGGAGCAGGCTCGCCGACAGGAGGAACCGGTCCGTCAGTTGAAAGAGCAGCTGCAGAGCGGACAAGAGGAACAGGCCCGTCGGTTGGAAGAAGCGGTTGGAAGAACCTTATGAATGACCTTCATGCTACCTTTGGAAAAGAGATAAGGGAGGTGAAGGATATGGTTGCTCAACATGACAACCGCCTGTCGGAACCTTAAACCCAAATCAAGGAAGCTAAAACCCAAATCGACCAAGTGAACAATCGGGTTGATAACGTGATGGCCGACGTGAAGAAAACGCTGGACGACCTCAAACTGGGGGATGGAACAACAGCTCCCGTAGTAACTACAACACCTTCGATACGTGGATTCAAAGTGCCGCCGTTCGACGGGACTTCTTCCTGGTTGGCCTACAAAATTCCAGTTCGAGGCCGTTATGGAGGCGAACGGCTGGAATAAAAGCCAAGCCATGACTGCACTCACCCTAGGCCTGCGCGACCAAGCCTTAACACGTTAGCTGTCCAATGTACCGAATACAGTACACGCCGCCGTAGGTCCATCACGTCCGTGTACCGTAAATGGTACACTCGCCCCTGTGTCTTTCTATGCGCTCTAACTTCATGGACTTGTGTGTTATGTTGCTCTATTTATCAGGACTTGTCAACAAGACACCAATGAATAGAAAAAACGGAAAACATGATATATTCTTTTTTTTTTTCTAAATGTGGGTAGTGGCAAAAAAGCAACTGTTTATTAGTAAAAGGGCTTTATTCATGTAAAGGAACTTCAGAATAACATTGAAAACAGTACGTCTTTTTACATTTATTACAGTGCGTTGTCACTCTTTTAGCTTTAGCTCTCGCATCCTTTGGAAGACTTCCCTGATCGATAAGTTTTTTGTAACACCCAACACATCGTCTTCGTACAGATATGCCCCTTACTTTGCCAATATTTTCTAAAAAAATGTGAAATCCTATTGACTAACCAGTGTACTTGATGATGAAGACAGGCTTTCGTATTGCCTTTGTCTTACGGGAAAACGTGAAGTGCTCGTCTGTAGTTGCGCTTCACGTGTTTGCTACTGAGCAGGTTCAATTTGCAATAATCTCTTCACAATTGCTTCATTTGACGCCAAAACAGTGTACCTTTCTTTTTTTTTAGGGTGTAATTCATTGAAAATTATCATAAAGTTTATCACTGCTATGGCCAACAAATCCTTTGCAACTTTTTTGTACCAGATTAACGTTTTTCTAACAGGCGTGTTGTAACTGGACAGTTGATCAGCAATGTCTATTCCTTTTTTAGCTTTGTTGTAGGTAAGTATCATATCAGGCTTCAGCTTTGGAGTGCGTGCTATCGTCATAGATAGTCCTTTGCCGTGACAAGTCGACAATATACAAACATCTCGCTTGTCTTTCCATTTTAGAACATTGATATTTTCATTTTTTTGTTTGACGGCAATTTCTCCTACTTGCAAAGCAGCATTTGTGACATCTTTTGGTATACCTCTCCTTTTTTTATTTAGAGTACCACAGAGATCTGTATTACGAGAGAGAAGAAACAAGCATATAAAAGATTTAATACTTGTATCTAACAAAAACACTTTTTTATAAATTTAAATACCATACACTTTTTTTAGGGAGAGAGGCACCAAAAACCCCCCCCCCCCAAAAAAAAAAAAAAAAAAAAACCTAGAAAAAATAAAAAAAATATATATATATATATATATATATATATATATATATATATATATATATACAATATGTAACGTAATCAACGCACACCCTCAGATATATTTGATATCCCCACGTAAAGCCATCTACAGTGCATAACTTATATATTTTGATCCCGTATTTATGAGACTTCGACAGTATAAACTGGCGAAAAATTAATCTGCCACGAAAATGCACCGTTGATTCGTCAACAACTATGGTGTCCCCAGGCATGTAAATCGATCTAGAATTATCAATAATAAGATCTAGCAAGGGGCTAATCTTGTATAGTCGATCATTTTCGCGTCGAGACGATTCATTGTCGCAAATTTGCCAACATTTTAGTATAAGTGTGACATTTTGATATTATGAAGTAATGGATGATAATAAATTACATCCTTTTTCCAGTATGATTCTATCATTGGGAAGGGTATTATACCCATTAGTAGAATTACACCAAGAAATTTTAGCATTTCTGATTCGTCGACATCTGACCATCGTTTTTTGCGACTGTGTGGCTTTGCCGGTTCTTGTAAAAGCCGCGCGGCATACAAATTTGTTTGTTGCACCATTAGTTTTAGAACATCATCATCAACAATTTTTCGGAAAATTGTATAAAGATCTGTGTTTACATCGAAAAGCAGATTTTGGCGAGTTGGTTCGTCGTGCCCTGTGAAAGGTTTTCTCGATAAATCTTTTACAACTACCTGCCACTCGGAGTCAAGAGACACTTGTGATTGTATTCGTCTTGACCTCGACGTTCGTGAAGATACATTTGTTGGGTTACTGATGGTGATGAGGCTGTCTGGTATTTCAACATTTTCATGTTGTCCACTAAGTATTTCAGAGTGTGCAGACTCACCCATTTCTCCACCATGTTGTATCTCTCTGGCGATTGCTTCGACTGTCTCTTCTTCACGTTCATCAATGTCCACATCATCGTCCTCGACAATTTCCTCATGGTCATACACATTGAACAGTGAATCTTCACCATCAGACTCCTCTAACACTCTCCTGATATCTTCGTCGTCAAAGTTCTTCATATTTACCTATAATATTAGGTTCACACAACAAAAAATTGGCGCTCAAACTGACAAAAGCTTTGAATGTGAGTTTTCACTTAGCCATTTGACAATTGACAGAATTTAAGTCTTTTTTACTTTCTCTCAATGTCAATTTGTGACCATAAACAAGAATATTAATAAAAAAGGTGTTATTTTTTAAATAATTAGCCGTTCACAAGTCCACGGTACACGCTAAGTGTACACGATGCTTCAACTCGACAAGTCCGTGTACCGAATACGGTACACGGGTAAAAGGTGTGATAAACCGAGTTATTCGTTATTAACTAGGCATATTTATCCAAAACTAGTTATTTTGTATTGATTTGAGACAGAATATTACAAAAAATGATTTGGACATTTGGGGTTATCGAAAAATTATGTATGGGGACAGTTAACGTGTTAACTGTGTTGGAAGCTCTCCTGCTGACCTACGAGCAGCTCCTTGAGGCGTTGGAGGCGAGATATGGCGACGCTCACCTGGAACGTCTTTTGCGCGCAGCTTAAAGATCGCGTGCAACGCATCAATGAAAACCTGCAGCAGTGGGCTCTAGAGGTGGAGAAGCTGGTGTGAAAAGCATACCGGTCTGTACCTGCGCTCATTGAAGGGAACCTGGTGCAGACATTCATCGACGGCATCCGCGACCTTGAAGTCAGAGCTGCTGTGAGGCTCGGGCACCACGAGACGCTTAAGGACGCATTGGCCCATGCACTGGAGGTGGAAGCCGTGTGGCACAATCATCATTCCCAGAGGTTGCAGCAGCTACAGTTCGCGACCGCAACAAAGAATACAGCCCTAGGTGCTATGGCTGTGGGGAAAGGGGCCATCTTCGATCCAGCTGCCCTAAGCGAACTGTAGAAAGGGAAGTTGATCGATCTCGAGAGAGTAGTGCAGCTAACGGCACCGCCTGGCGGTGGCAGGATCGTCGTTCCCCTCGCGCTAGGGAGGTTGCAGTAGCTACAGTTCGCGACCACAATAAAGGATACAGCCCTAGGTGCTATGGCTGTGGGGAAAGGGGCCATCTTCGATCTAGCTGCCCTAAGCGAACCCTAGAAAGGGAAGGTGAACGATCTCAGAAGGGAAGTGCGGCTATAACCACCGCCCAGCAGCAGCCGGGATACGACTTTACTATCAGACATCGCAGCGGGAAATCTCATGGCAACGCAGATACATTGTCAAGAAGACCTTGTCCTGAAGATTGCAAACATTGTACTAGGCAAGAGAGTAAGGAAGTGGTATCCGTGAGGATGCTCAGGACAGACCACCTCCGCAACGAGTGGAAGGACAGCCTACGACATGCACAGCAGGAAGATCCGGACATCAGGCCAATTTTGGAATGGATGAAGGCCCGTGCTACCAAGCCTAAGTGGAGCGACGTCTCAGCTATGAGTTCAACCACGAAAAGCTATTGGGCCCAATGGGACAGCTTGCTGATTCAGGACGGAGTCCTGTGCCGTAAATGGGACAGTGGTCGAGGAGACAGCTGTCGTTTGCAAATGGTTGTCCCTAAAGCTAAAGTACCGAATGTTCTACAGCTGTGCCATAATTGTACGATCAAGTCCTTGTTAACGAACTCTACTGAAGGTCCGAGAACAGTTTTACTGGGTCCATTATCGTGGCGATGTCGAGGATTGGTGTCGCACATGTACAAGTTGTGCGGCTGTGAAGGGGGGGGGGGCACGTAGTAGAGGAGCATCGAAATTGTACAATGTTGGTGCACCATGGGATAGGACAGCCCTTGACATTTCGGAGCCGTTTCAGACAGGCGCAAGAGGGACTCCTAAGATCGTCCATGTGGTTCGCCTGGCGCGTTATTATGGGGCCGATAATGCTCGGGACGAGCATGTCTTAGGTGTTGCGCGCCTAAGTTTACGTCATGTACCCGGCACTAGCGCCATCTGTGTCAGGTAACGGAGCGAGGAGAGCTTTCCAGAAAATGACATCACTAATCTTTCAACCGACAGTGCCATCTAGTATCGAAACGAAGAACTAAGCTTCTAGAAGCCGACACTCGAACTTTCGATGCCTTGTCGATTGGTGCGCGTATTTACTTGAATATTCTGGATGTTTCGGTGATAATGTGTATTTATAGGCGCTGCAAGATGCGATCGGGAAAGTATTGAATTCGGCGAGATAAACGAAGCTTCGGAGCGAAATAAAGTGAATCAGTGTGGTTAATTATTAGTATTCTAAGTTTTAATTAGTGTAAAGTGAATTAAAGAGTTAATTATAGTAATTCAATCGACAGTTTTAATTGTCACGAACCTCAAGCTCGTAACAATAATATCAACCAAAATAAATTCTAGTTATTTATTGAGAGTATGCATATACTTGTACTACACATTTAATTAAAATCTAAGAGACTATTTTGAAGTAATAAGTATATAGATTAGATCATTTTTGATGTTAATTGAAAAATATAATAATGATAAATTACCTACTAAAAATTATATTTGTCTCGTAGTTTAGTTGGAACATTACAACATTATACTCTTCTGCCAGATCATTTACCATCAGGTGGGGGTATTTAAAAAAATACAAACGAGCCCACAGCCCGCCTGATGGTAAGTTGATGTGTGACCCAAAGATATACATTTATACATACATAATACATACATAAACACTCACGCCTGTCACCCAGAGGGGTAGGCAGAGACTACAGACTTCCATTTAGCACGATCCTGATATACCTTTCTCGCCTCATCCACATCCATATACCTACGCATACATGCTCGTCAGTTAAGGGTACTCTTAATTTGGCCCATTTTTAGTATATCGCCAATTTGGTCGACAAAATTCCGCCTAGGACGTCCCTTTCCGACTCTTCCATTCACTTCTGCAACATATATTTGCTTTGTCAGCCTTTCCGCATTCATTCTTTCTACATGACCAAACCACCGAAGCATTCCTTTCTTAATCCTGGTCACCGCATCATCTTGCAAACCACACTCTTCTTTTATCACACAGTTTCTCACCCTGTCACTCAGATTCAGCCCTAACATACTCCTTAGCGACCGCATTTCTACTGCATTTATTCTACTCTCGTGCTTCTTCTGCCACACCCAACTTTCACTACCATACGTTAAAGTAGGGACTAATACAGCACTGTGAATTGCCATACGTGCCTTTTTTGACACATTCTGACTTTTCAAAATAGAGTGTAGAGCCCCATTTACTTTATTTCCTGCATTCACTCGTCGTTCAATATCCTTATCATATCTCCCATCCCTGCTGAATACACATCCCAAATATACGAACTCATCCACTTGCTCAATTAACTCTCCTTCTATTCTTATTTCACATACCGTTTTGCTTTCATCTCTTTCAAAAACCATCACTTTCGTCTTACTTGCGTTCACTTTCATTCCCCTTTCTTTTAATGACCTGTTCATTAATGTAACCATCATTTGCAACTCAGCCGCCGACGACGCAAGTATGACTTGATCATCGGCGTACAAAAGGCATTTGATGGTTAACTCACCCATTCTTAACCCGCATTCTTCAACTTTCAAATTTTCCAAACAGCTGTCCATAAATAGGTTTAACAGCCACGGAGAAGCTACACAGCCCTGTCTGACACCTTTATGGATGCCAAACCAGTCCGAGTAGACCCCGTTGATTCTAACACAAGCACTCGAGTCCCTATACAGAGACTTTAATGCCTGTATCAAACCAGCGCTCAACCTAAATGCGTTCAGCGTTTGCCATAACACATCCCTGTCCACTCTGTCATAAGCCTTTTCCAAGTCCATGAGCGCACAAAAAACTTTTTGGTTTTTCGCCAAAAACTTCTCCGCGATCATGCGCATGGAAAAGACTTGATCTGTACACCCCATTCCCTTTCTAAATCCCGCTTGCACATCCCAAATTTTTTCATCAGTTTCTTTCATAACTCTTTCAATTAGTACCTTAGCATACAGTTTTCCCACAATGCTAAGAAGGCTGATACCACGGTAGTTTTTACAATCCTGCCGTGACCCTTTTCCCTTATATATTGGGACTATCACGGCTTTGCACCAGTCTCCCGTTACCCGCTTTAGTTCCCAACATAAATTAAACAAGGTGTACAGCAGGCCTGCCACCACGTCCTCTCCAGCCCTTAGCATTTCGAGTGAAACTCTATCATATCCGGCTGCCTTACCTACTTTCATGCTTTTCATTGCTTTCATTATTTCATCTATACCTATCTTCCTATCTCTTTCATCTTCTTTCGGAATTTCTATTTCATTTAGTTCACAATTCTCCTCACTCATAAATTTGCTTTCAAAATATTCCTTCCATCTCTTTAGACTCAACACTTCATCATTCAGGATACAGCCATTCTCGTTTCGTATCGCATTCAATCTAGGCTGTTTTGAAAGTCCCCTGGTATTTCTTACGAGTTTCCAGAACATTTTAATATTTGCCTGGAAGTTATCTGATATTCTTCTATCATTCCTATCCGTTCTTTCTTGCTTTTTCCTTTCAACTAATTCTTTTACTCTCTTATTTAAACGTTTAAACTCTGCCTTTTTTCTTTCATTCTCATCATTCTTACCGCCAGAGTTACCAGCTTTGGTCGCTAGTAAATCCAGCCATGCTCTCTTCTTTGCTTCAACTATATATACATTTATCTTCGGTGATAGTATAAAATTTATCTTCTCTTCTCAGTCGATACACTCTTGACAGAGCGGTCGTGGTCGTCACTTGGATGTTGTGGCACGCTTTACAATACGCCTCCACTCCTCCCTAACAGCTGCCTTTCTTGTGCACTCATGCAACGGGACATCCACCGCAGCCCTCACCTGGTCTGTCCATCTCATAGGCGATCTGCCTCGCGCTCTAGTGCCCTCTACTCTTCCCTGGACCACTAGACGTTCAATCGAGATATCATTACGTCTAGACACGTGACCAAAGAAAGTGAGTATGCGAGCTTGCACAGTAGATGACAGACGTTGCTTGATGCGGAGTTCTTCGAGAATGGACTTATTGGTCCGGAATT